GCCCGCGAGGACCGTCGCTCGCCGGGGACGCTGTGACGGGTTCCCGGGCAGTGCCGGGCAGAACTCCCGTCCCAAGGACTGCTCCGTGGTGGTACAGTGGGAGCAAGGGAAAGTCGTTCCGACTGCATCCGTCCCCTTCGTTGTGCAGCGGGGCAGAGCTCTCCTGTCCCGAGCAGAGTGTTTCGTTAGGGTCAAAAGGAAAAAAAAGCTGTTGACTTCATTATTTCCCTGCTGGATGTATGCTCAGTTCCTTCCTTACTGCTTTTTTCCTCCCGGTATGCTTAACAAAATACTTTCTTTTGCTAGTGTTATTCACTGCAAAATTCCTATTTGTAATCTGTTGTTTATACCTCTCTTATTTTTACATAGCAAAATGAACGTGAAGAACCCCGTCAATTGCAAAACTATTCCGATACCACTCCAGTTTCAGCAGTTTCAGATGCCAGTCCCAAAGCCTGAGGAGACTGCTGTACATTCAGCAGCAACTTTTAGCAGCATTTCTGCAGCAGTTGGGTTTTTTCTAAGATACCATTCCTGAAACGGGTGCCGACAACGTGGAGACAAGGGCTGCAGGGGTTTTGTTTTAAAATAGAGGCTGATGATTCTATAGAGGAGGAAAGAGAAGGCTTCGGGTGGAGTTTTTGCGTGTAAAGCTGGACAGCAAACCCAGCCTAATGTAAATCAATGATAATCGATATATTCACAGCGTTGGCTTTATTAAACTGGGCTCAGCCTCGTGGGTTTGCAGCGGTTGGAGTGCTGGGTTTGGAAGGGGCAGCAGTGGGAGCCGTGCCGGCTGTGCAGGCAGCGGCATCTCCGTTCCCAGCGGTGACGGTGGTGGTGACTGTGCTGTACCAGCTGCAGGAAAAATGCAGCCGGTGAATAATTGATGGGGAACAAAGTGCTGCTTAAATAGGCAAAACGCCCTTCTCCCTGCATAGGGAACACGGTGGGCTGGGTGGGACAGCTCCAATAGTGAAGGCTGTCCCGCTGCGGTGCCTGGAGTCGTTTCTGTGCCTGTTCTCATTGTGCTCCGTCTCGGCGCTTAATTGCTCTTTCCCTCTTCATCAAATAATGACAGAGGGAATCATAAATCCCAAGAGTCTTGGATTCCAATTTAGGCTTGGGAGAGAAATGAAGTGATAATTTTTTTTCTGTCGTTTTCCAACGTGATTCATTAACAGTTTCATTGCTCAATAGTCCTCTCTCTGTCTCTGCTCCCTGGGCTTATCAGCAGCTCATCTTTCTTACCCCTCCTTAGCCTCATTTTATTTTCCTGAACTCATGAAGTCCAGCTCTTATTTCCTCAAAGGCAGACAAGGGGACACATTTAAGTGACTCAAGCAGCACCTTTGTCCGAGGAGGTGTTAATTTTACCAATAGGCATTAGTCTGCTGTATGTAAAACTAGGAATCAACTGGAGCCATGTGGAAAGAGCACAGCACTTACCTGGCTGTAATTGAACCTACTGTGGAACAGAAAAGTGCGGGTGACAGCTGGGACAGTTTTAGTATCTAAACCTTGTAAGGGAGAACTCAAGTTCAAGACCTACCTACTGCTGAAATACTGAGTGTTGTGTATTTTGCTAGTGTTCAAGGGGGGGTCAGATCAGTCAAAAGTGGGACTCACTGGCACAGCAGCTGGTATTTTGTACCTCTTCTGATCAGTTTTGACTTCATTTTTGATCTGAAACATTCTGGAACTATTTGTAAGGCAAGGTAGAGCTCATGAGGCTGTATGCATAAGGCAGAGGGAGCTGTGCTCCTTGTGTCACCGTGGGTATTTTAGCATGTGAATGTGTCTTTAAGGCATGTTACAATGTGCAGAGTTAAAGATCCCTTGCTCTCAGGTGTCTGTTCTCGTTGGGCTGTAGCTGCTGAAAGCTCCATCAAACGTGTGTAAGTACAGGTAGAACTAATGTGCTCTTTGTTTTCCACTCCTGACAGCTCAGTGCACTGCCATCCTTCGGGTTCCTGTTTGACATCGACGGGGTGCTGGTGCGAGGAAAGACTCCGATTCCTGCTGCCAGAACAGCCTTTCGAAAGCTTGTGAACTCTCAGGGACAGTTCTTGGTGCCTGTGGTGTTTGTCACCAATGCAGGGAATTGCCTTCGCCAGAAAAAAGCCGACCAGTTGTCTCATCTGCTGGGAGTTCCAGTGAGTCCCTTAAATCCCATTTATTTCATTATTACGTTGAATGTGTCAAATGTATTATCTTCCATTAAATGCTGCTCGGTTAATCAGGTCTGGTTTTTCCTTAAGCCCCCTGAAATGCTTTGCTGGAGGTATTAGAGAGTAAAAAATGCTGTCCAAAGCTAATGGCATTTCCTTTGGTAAAGGTACTGATTTTTCCAATGATAAAGCTAAAGTTAACAGTTATTTCTCTGCAAAGATGATAGGTAGTGATTCATAAGAGCATCCTTCCAGGATAATGATCTTAAAGGTTTATACCTATCCTGTGGAAGGAGTGGGGATAAGTAAAATTAAAGGTGATTTCTGATACAATTAGATCAGTGCTGTAGTTTAACAAAGGGCCCACAATTGGAACTAGAGCAGTTCTAATTCTTCTTCCCTGTTTGTTTTCCACATTGGGTGATTCTGTAAAACTGGGAGAGGAAACCTTGTGCTCATGTTGAATAGAGTAATTCTGGAAGCTGAAAGGGGTCTGTGCATGACAAGGCAGTAATGTATTTTTTTGTAATGTATTTATGCAGCAATGTATTTTTGTCTGGCATATTATCAGTAGGTCCCTTGTGAAACTTTAGAGAAAATGTTGTGACAGGGGTTTAGGTACATCTGTATGATGTGGGGGTTTAGGTACATCTGTATGATTGTTTTGCAATTCCTAGACTTTATCACATCCGTTAATTGAATCTTTGTATAAACAACTTCCCTGAAAATCAAAAACAACAGACTGGTTTTGTTTTTGAATCCCAACCAGATTTCCCAAGATCAGGTGATGATGTCACACAGTCCCCTGCGGATGTTCAAGCGTTATCATGAGAAATGTGTCCTGGTGTCTGGACAAGGACCACTTCTTGATATTGCTCAAGAGTATCTTTAAAAAAAATAAAAACCAACAACTTTCAGTCAGAGTGGTTTCCTTACTCAAGGTCAGGGGATCCTGTGGATCAAGCGAAGACCAAATATCTCAACCCTTCCAATACAGCAATAAGCAGTAAATGGTAGTTCTTACTGTGACGTCACATTTATGTTGCGAATGTGCTCGGGGTGCTGGTATTTGCTTCACTTTGTTCTGTCTATTTTGAGTGAGGAAAAAGGAGAAAGAATTTTTTAATTCATATGCAAATGACACTTTAGCACACAGGGTTTGTGCTCCCTTGAGGAGGAGAGCCTGACATTCTGTCTGTTATTTATCACACTGACTTTTACCTCAGTGCTCAAGATTTGCTTGTAAGCATGTCTTTGTAACCAATATCTGGTGTAAAATTACACTTGAATATTTTTGCCACTTCTATACTAGCTACCCAAAACAACTTGAATTATGTTGATATAATGGTGGTATCAAAGTTTCAAACATAATCTTTGCTCATGCTTCCGGTTAGTCCCTTCTACACTTCTTCCTTTATTGAGATTTTAATTGAAGTTGGTGTAAATCATAAGTTGTAAAAAATGTATATGCAGATTTTAAGTATAAGCTCTATTTCAAAGACAAAGATGAGAAAAAGGTATTGAAGGAACATTCCAGTTAACTGTCAAAATCCATTAGGCCTGGCTAAGAGACAAGTGTGTTACAAGGCTGAATACAAACCAGAAAAACCTTGGTCTCCTGTTCGTCTGTAATGGGATAATCATCTTTTTGTCTCACAGAGAAAAGAGTCAGTCTTTGATGGTGCTTTCATTCCTAGCTGATTTGCTTTACCAGATAAACTGCCTGTGTTCAAGTTGTTAAAATGGAGTTATGGATTTTAAAAATCCTTTCCTATAAGAAGCTCTTTGTCCTTAACTGGTGTTTCCAGCCTTGGTTTCTGTCAGCCCATCACCATTGAGACTCTGCGGGAGAAACACCCGCTCTTGGATGCAGTTGACCATGACAGAAGACCCAACGTTCTGGTGAGTGTATATTTTTGTTTTAAAGCTCTTTATTTGCTCATTGCATGACATTCTCTATAATAGGGGTCAGTATTTAACTACCAAGCTAATGCTGCTGTTCTTACATGGTGTTTTATCTTTGCATTTCTGCTTCCTTATTTGTTTTATTACAACATTTTCAAGAACAAATCCATAGACTTTTTTCTCTCAGTGGTAATTCTTTAACCCAGTCTTCGATATTGTAACTTACTGCTGTGGGAAAACTTACAATCTGATACAGATACCTAATTCAAAATCGGTCTTGGAAAGCTGATTAGCTTCTTCAGATGTGTGGAAGATAACACAAGCGTTTTCCTTCAGTATGGGATTGTGTTGGTATTGGTTCTAGGCTGTGAGGTTGCTTCAATTGTAAATTAATGCTCTGCAGATAATTTATTTACCTGCAAAGGACTCCCTTTCTTGTTTATACCAAATATATTTAATGTTTACAGTATGTACAATATGGTTTCAACTGAATTGTGCCGAATTTCCAAGAGAAGTGAATACATCCACAGTAAATCCCTGTGTGAACTGGGCATGGTCAGGGCATGGATTTGCCCCATGTGAAGCCAAGACATTCCCTGTGGCTCCCAGAATCCAAAACTCAGGTGTATCACCTTTGGCTGTGCTTCTCAACCCTGCAGGTGGGGAAGCTCAGGAACCTGTTAATGTGTTTGTCACCACGGAGAGTAAATAATGAAGTGCAAACTCTTAGTTGTGTAGCAAATACATTACATGTTATACAATGCATTTTTCTTTATTAGCAGTGTTAAAGAAATACACCTTAAAAACTATAATACCAATGTCTTGATAATACTAAAGGCCTCTTACTCCTGTAGCTCTTACTCCTGTAGAATATTAAACATCCACATTTTCACACACAAGTAAATCAAACAAGTGGAGTTTTCAGGCTTTCCAGAGGCAGTTCAGAAGAAGCAGGAGGCTGGTGCATGTAGAACACTCTGACATGTCTGCTGTCTGTGTGCACGAGGTTTCACTTCACAATGGAGGTACAAGTTTCTGAGTGAACTGACATCAGTTCTGAGTTAATTTACAAGTTTCTGAGTGAACTGACATCATCTGAGTGAACCAAAACAGAGAGAGTATTTCCTGTCAGTGCTGCAGAAGGCAGCTGTGGGAGCTATATTTGAATTTGTTCTGCTAAAAATAGTAGTAGATGTTTAATCTTGTAGAAAACTTTCACTTTTTTCTTATTGCAGTCCCCCTCTGCTGTGGAGCTTCCCAAGATCGAGGGTCAGTTACCTTTATTTAACTTGAAACTATCCATTAATAGATGAAATATCTTAATTGTGCTTTATAATCAGAAATTATTTTTAGATTGTTGGGCACTTCAGAAATTTGTCTGAGACACTCATAAGATTTCCTTGTTGATGACATCTGTCATTCATTTGGAATACATCATGTGTGGTAAAGCTGGTTTTTAATGTGTACAGTTTTCAGCCATGTGTTTTTGAAGTTTCAAAGCTACCTGAGGTCTCCTTTCCTTTTCATCTGCTTTTAACGGGCTATTGGTGCCTTCCTGTCCAAACTGAGCAATGAATTGACATGTGGGCAGCAATAATTGGTCTAGTCCTCACACGCAGTCAGGATGGTCACTGCAGAGCTGCAGTGTGAGAAGCACCTTGTTTCAGCACATTGTGTTCACTCCCATCTGAACTATGGGAAAGTAGAAACTGGACCTTGGGATTTAAAAAAATCCATATCAGATTATTGCTGGAGAGACGAAAAATGTTTAAAAACAACTTTCGGATTTTGTTCTAAGATGAACAAAATAACATCTCTGATGGATTACTTAAACACTCTATGTAAACGTAGAATTTACAAAGGTGTGGAAGACTTAGAAATACAATTTAAAAGTTAATATTTTGGGGTGCTCTGGAGAAACTTAGTCAATAAAAAAAATCAAATTCCTAAACCTGTAGGTTTTGCAGTGGGGTCTTGTTGCTTCTGAGATTTTCTGTGAATGGATGGGTATGTGATATATTAAATATTAAGATCTAAATTAAACTTAATGTGACTGTTTGATCAGTCTCTTTAGACCACTTGTGTGCCCTCTTAGCAATTCCATGACTCTGTTTTTAATTCTGGTTCTCACAGCTGTGGTGTTGTTTGGGGAGCCAGTCAGATGGGAAACCAGCCTGCAGTTGATAATAGATGTTTTGCTGACCAGTGGCTATCCTGGAAATCCCTATCACCATGAAAACTACCCTCACATTCCTGTGCTTGCCTGTAACATGGATCTCATGTGGGTAGCTGAGGCACAGTCTCCAAGGTGAGTAATTTATAACATGTATATTGTGATATATTTGAGATTTACTCATTTCTCCAGTAAAATTCAGAGTCAACACTTGAATACAAAATGCCTGGTGCAGCTTTACAGAAGGTCTTGGCTCTGAATGCAAAGTCTCTACACTTTCAGCTAATGCTGCCTTATTGCTGTGTGCATTATTGCATCCAGGAAAACAGTTACTCAAGAGAAAAACTGCTTTTGAGCTCTAAACCCTTTTGTTTTCTCACTCCCAGAAGAGTGGGGAAAGAGAGGATTTTGCCTCAGGGCCTCAGAGTCTCAGTTCAGAGGGAAAAATGAAAAAATTATCAAGGCCAATTGTTTCATTTCGTTAGGTCCTTTGGAATTTCTCTTTTCCACCCTACATTCCTGGTAGGGTTAAGAGCTGACCCTGCTGTTGAAAGCAGTGAGTGGTTTTGAGCTGAGGACAATGCAGTGAGCTCCTTAAGGAACATAAGAGAAACCAGCAGAACACGCAGAACAAGGTGGCTTAACCTCTGATAGTGATTTTGTTTGATTTTGCTTTCAACAGAAGGTAGTTCTTTAATAGTCTTGTTTCCCCTCCCTTCCTCTCAGTCTATAGTTTGAACATCATCTGAAATAGAAACTTGTTATTGTGATTTGATTGCTGCCTCGATCCTGGGTCAAAGATCTTGTCAGATATCCTTCCTTGGAAGCAAAGGCTTTTTCTAATTAGCACATTGGCAGAACATGTGTGTGTGATAGTTTCACGCTAGAGCAAGGCAGCCAGGACATCTACAGTGAGCAGTTTTACAACGAGATAAATCTGTTGTGCCATTCCAATAACGTGGGGGTTTTGTTGTTCGGCAAATAAGCGCTTTATTTCCAGTGAAACAGCTGCAGAAATGTTGCATGATGAGGGAAATTTGATAGCTGTAGGATATGATTTATTCCTAAAAAAATAATGAATTAAAAAAACCTCAGTTTGTTTTTTTTTATCCATACTTAATTTGATTTGTCTTTCCATCTCCATAGGTTTGGGCACGGGACATTCATGGTTTGTTTGGAGAACATTTACAAGAAGATCACCGGCAGGGAGCTGAAGTACGAGGCGCTGATGGGCAAGCCCAGCCCGCTGACATACCAGTACGCCGAGCAGCTGCTGCGGGGCCAGGCCCTGCACCGGCCCTGGCACCGGCCCATCCACACCCTCTACGCCGTGGGGTAAGGGCTGCTCAGCCGACCAGGGGAAACCAGTTACACAGAAACGCCAGCCAAGAAAAATACCCAGCTCTTCACCAGCTTGTTTCTCACACCACTGGGACCACCCAATGGTCTTGGTGCTGTGGTGTATCTTTTCTGTTTCTAATCTTAAGAATTAATAGCACTTTGTTCTTATGTGCAATTTCTGTAGAAGCACAAAAAGGGGTTTATATGGAACTAAGATTTCTCCAAATTATTTATTTAATTATTTATTTCTGTCATAGGCTATGTAAATCTAAGAAAAAGGATTCACCTGGGTACTTGTTTTATTAGGTTTACTGGTATAACACCAACTGGCTTTCAGTAAATGACAGTTGTTAGAGAATGTAGAGCTTGAATTTATCTGTGAGGTCATTAAGCTTGGTCATGTGCTACTGCCTGTGCTGTCACATCATAGAATCCTTTTCATAGAAAGGGATAAAGCTGTATTGTATAAAAGACTGTTCCAGAAGCTCCAAGATGTTTGGAAATACAATAAGCTCATTCATGCACTGTTCATACCTATCCTTGATTTTCCCTCCCCCTGCTCCAATCTGTAGTTTCAGCCTGGAGAGTGACTCATTTGTATCATGTCACCCTCAGTGACAATGGTGTAGTAAAATAGCTGTGGGATATGGATTCTCCCTGTGCATAACTCCCCATGAAGTTGTTAAAGTATAAATTAAACAGTAAACTGAAACTGTACCAACGTCTCTCATACATGGACATGTGACAGGTAGGCCTGCCCTGCTGAGCGAGCTTCCTTCTGTTTGCAGAGACAACCTCATGACGGATGTCTATGGTGCCAACCTTTACAACCGCTGCCTTGAAGAGAACTCCCGGAAAGGCTCCAGCTCGCGCGTTCAGGCCCAGGTCTCCGGTGGCAGAGGCTCTGCTGCACTCTCTCAGGACAGTGACATGGACCACGGCTGGGAGAACCAGCTGGCACCTGCAGCTGCTGCCCACTGCAGGTCTGTGCTGGTTTGTACTGGGGTGTACAACCCCCACAGCGAGGTGCCCTTGGAGACCAGGGACAGCATCACGGGAGCCGTGTTCCATGGCCACAGAGATTTTAGGTTTGATCCTGGTTTAGTAGAACCAGATCATATTGTACCGGATGTTGATGCTGCTGTAGACCTGGTCTTTCAGCTGGAGAACTTCGCACCTAATTGAGGTGATGTGATTTCTTAAGGACCACTCAGTGCTGTGCTTTTCTTCCCAAAAAACAAGCTGTGCTTTACAATAGCACCACAAACTGCTGCCTTCTAAAATTTTTTAACTTCTACACTAATGCAATCTTACCTTAGGTATGCTTATTAGTAGTATATATAGATATATTAGTATGTTTAAGTATATTAAATATCAATAATGCTTTTTATAGTACTTCAAAATATGTAATTTTTGGCTTTAGTTGCCCTTTATTGTCCTCTTCTTCATTATGTTAGGTATTTTAATAGCAATATTTCATAGTAGGCTATTCATGTTACCGGTACTTTAATTCCCCCATGACAGTATCTGTTTTGGTTTTCTGGAAAATTTAGCCTGTAGGTATGTGGGATCTTCAGGGTATCACAGCAGGGTTTGTTGGGATCAGCCTCTCAATTTCAAATGGGCTGGTACAGCACAACACGTGTTACTGCTGGGTCTTCTGCATGTAAGGGGTGCTCTCCTAAATTAGAGTGGAGTTCAAGTCTGTTCTGCTGGGGACTTGCTCACATATAACTCTGCTGCTGCCTTTTTTTCTGTTTGCTTTCCCATATGTCTGGAGTTGCTATTTCTTCTCTCTGATGTGTAAAGCCTTAATAGAACTGCCTAGGGAGGTTGGGGAAGGCTGACTTGGTACCACCGTGTTGGAACTCCAACTGAGCACAGTCCTGTCTTTGCCTTTCTATCTGCACATTTTTTGGAGGAATTGAGGATCTTAGAAAGCTTTAGCAATTTTGTTTTAGGTGTTTCTGTGAGTTGGACTTTACCACTGAATGAATGACTACTGCTTGGCCAAAAAGTGCCTCATAATTTACTTGAAGCCTCATACCACTGTGGTAATTATCTGGCCTTTAGTGTAACATATTTCATTTTGTGTTCATGTTATATGTTGTTTGATTCATGGATTTTATAGTTGTTCGTTTAAAAAAACCCAAAAAAGTAATTTAATTTATGTTATATTTGTAAAATACTTCTAAATGTTTTCATCCAAGACGTGTCTTTGAAAATATTTCTGTACTAATAAGCATTGACAGACAGATGGTGGCACAGGGTGAAATCACTTCCTGGCCAACTTCTTCACTGCTTATTATCCCAATAGCAACATCAGAAAACTCACACCACGAAGAGAACACAGCTGCTATGGGAGTCACCTTTTGGTGCGTTTTCCCTGTTTGCAAACCACCGTAATCCCCCTCTCCACTGTCAGGATTTTTGATTTATGACTTGTAGTGTTTTGTAAGTAGCTTTCAACGTATCTTGCTGGATGCAGTTTAAGAACACTGCTCTAAATGTTTATTTCCTGTTTCTTCATTGGAAAAGTATTTACAGCAGCACATTCTTGCCTTTTCATTGGTACAATAAACAGATATCTCCTATTTCTTTAGCACTTTCTGTAATACACCAAGTATTTGCAAAGTATGCCAAATCTTTCTGAGTAATGATTGTACTTTTGTAACATGTCAGGATGATTTGAAGTTGTATTGTTTCAGTACTAAAGCATGTTGCAGACCTCTAACTAGTACGAGAATCGGTGAAGCGAGGAATAAAAATGTTGGAAATGTCTTTAATGTGATTGTTTGTATGAAGGTATGACTGAGCCGCAGGAGTGAAGGATCTGCAGCTGGATCACCACAAAAAGAAATAGGCAGTTGTTGCCACAGGTGATAGACAAGATAGATTAATATATATGGGTATTGCTATAAAACAAGAGAAATGTCAGTGTAGCATAACTTGTGTTATACCAGGAGGCTTGGCAAAGATTTTGGTGACGTGTCCTGAAAAATAATTTTTTAAGCAAGGATTTGAAGTATAGTGAGTTGTCATTGAAAAAAAGTACCATAAAACAGTGCATCAGAACTACCACTGTAATTTCTAACATTTCCTGCCATGGTAGTTTAAAATGAAATGTAGTGATTCTTCGTTAGTAACAAGCTAAGATGTGGAAATACTTAGAAGAAATCTCAATCTGTAGTATTGAAAAGGTGGATTTTTTCGGAGTTCTTAAGTAAAACTGAGCTTAGTATAATGTTCTTTGCAATTATTCAGCTAAGAGTGAGATGAATTCATATTATCTTAGGTAAGGAAAAGAGTAAGACCCTGTCTTAACATTTTCTCTCCTTTCCTTGACTGTCTTCTTACTTGGATTTTCACTTAACCTTCTTTAACATTTATTTCAGTTTTGACATTTACCTCTTTGAAACAGAGAGTGTTTCCCACATGTTCTGTTCAGTGCATTTCAGTCAGAACACAGGGGAGCTACTGGATGTTACAATACTTCTTTCAAGTTTAAATTGTTCTATTGAAACACCTAAAGTGACCAGGATGCGCAGAAGGCGATCACTGAAATCACTTTTAAAAACACTTCTGAGGATCTTGCAGAAGTTTCTTGTAAGTATGGCTTGTGCTTTGTGAGTAGTGTGTTTATTCTTGATACCTTTTGTTCTGTTAAAAACAAAAAACATCTCAAACCCAACCTTTGAAAATACATCCTGTAATTATTTTGGCTAATACAAAAGGTAGAGGATTTTAAACTACAGTCATGTATTGTCTTCAGTAACACAGATTTTTCTTTAGAAATCTTTTTCAATTGAAGGTATTGTACTGAGGAATGTATGAGAAATTTTAAGAAAAACAAATTTTCAGATACCTCCTCTTTGACATAAAAAAAACCCCCAAGTTGCATTTCAAATTAATCATGTCAAAATTCAATACTTGTTATGAAAGGAATAATCTGTTTGTAGTACATTCTACATTTATAAAATCAGTGTACACCTGTTGATGTGTTATGGGATAATCTTTTTAAAATGTAGGTTTTTTTAGTTAGGGGTCATATCCAGGCAGCTTGTCTTAAAGATGTGAGTAATTCACGGTAATCTGTTGCAGTGGTTTGTAGTAAATTATTTCTTTCCATAAACTGCTCGGTAAGAACTGAGTTTATGCGGGAAGCGAAGGGCTGGAACTGCTCTGAGGGGCCG